AAGAGGATCTTCGCCGGCTTTTCGGTTCTCAGTGAAAGTCAATACATGCCCAAAATGGTAGGATGTCCTTATCGCCGATTTTTCGACCTCCAAGCGTTCTTCTATGTCGTTGTACTTTTACTTTCTCCTCAAGAGTAACTTTGCACAACAAAAGGAGGTTTCTTTTGGTCGTTAGCTTATCGCCCGCCACGTGTTGTACTATGGCATGGGTGACAAGGTTGGCCAGTTCTTATTCTGAAGGGAATCGAATGTTGTATGTATGACAAGGGTCAGGCCTCAGAAGTCTTGACAGACCCTTGTACATCACCATCAGCCTCACATGCTTAACCTGGAACAGAAACGCTCATATAGCTGGGTGTATCTCAAGTCCATAACCCAAGCGTCCTTAAGTCTTCCTTGTGAAGATCTGTTTACAACTGAGAGAACCGTCTCTCCGAGTCTTTCTTTTCATATCTTTCGACTCTATTGCTGTATTATTTGCCCTTGTGTCAATTTGCATATATTTCACTCCCGCCCATCATGAACCGCGGAACAGTCGCCATCGCTGTCGTGCAACACCAAGTTATGATCATACAGATTACACAAAGTAGTACGTACCCACCGAAACTACTCAAGAACAAATTTCTTACAAGTTCCCTACACAGCTGCCTCAGGCCAACCCCACCATCGTCGTGATCGATGGTTAGATGTATACACTTATGCGCCTTTTGGCGACCACCTGTTCTTGGCTTCGTCCGTCCCTCAGGCGCGCATCGCCGCCTCAGACCTTCTTACCGTCTTCCCGTTTCGCACCACCACCACAGACATGATTGAATTGCCTGCACAGGCGTATCAGGAATTCCTGCAGCTCCAAGCCAAGCATCAGAAGAAACAGGAGAATTTGTGGCGTGCCTGGAAAGCCAAATCGCGCTAAATGTGGTCCGTTCTACGAAAAAAGTCGATTTATTTATGCGTGCTGTGGGCTGAGAAAGACTTGACGGAATTGCTTGTATTTTTAACACTATCATTTCTCCCCGGATTGTAGCTGGAACTAGATACCACCTCACATTGTGATACACACTGTAGCCTTAGTACTTGAAATCGAAATTGTAGCTCGGTAGAATTTTAACACATCTCGTCCATTCGGCGGTGTACAACAGATTATTGTGTGATCAACCCGTTATTTATAGTGGAGAAAGCAAGAACAACACAGAAATGGTGTAGTAGCATATGGAAATAAAAATATTGGTAAGTCTGGGTCACTCGGCCGCAGGCCAAGAACTATATTGGTCTGCAGCTAAGCAGCGAGGGTAGCATCTGGGTCCCTAAACACCTATGGACGCAAAGGGTCAGCGACGATCAATGAAAAAAGCAGCGGGCACACTTTTAAACTCCATATGTCTCCCACTTTGTCTCTGTCTTCAGAGTCCATGGCTTCATTTTCCTCTTCGTCTAACTGGCCGCCAGGAGAAGTCTGTAGCTTCAGTCCCTGTTCATTAGCAAGGTGCAGTAGACATATGAAGCAGAAGCTCGTGCTGATCTCTTCCATCTTGTCCTTCGGATACGATTTCTGTAGTCCAGAAATTACTGAGCTGAAAATTCTATGTTCTTTGGGGCTAGTAAGAGACGTGTCATCGACATCCTATTGGCGGGTGAGCAGAAAAGGAGGGGCGATTCGAAAGAGACAAACCATATTGTCGTCTTCTTCGTCCTCCTTCGGCTTCCCAACCTTAATGTCCAAGCCTTTCCAAATGTTTTCTTTCAGCTTCCTCACGTCTACCCGTTTGGCACGTTTGGCATAATTGACAAATTCTGGTCGAACCCGCCGCGTCTGACCTTGTGTGGCAGCCAAGAGGTCCTGCTCTCCAGCATCCTCCATCGCTGCACCATCGCCATCAAAACCATCGTCAAAGCCCGGGCCGTCATCATAGTCGTTGTCGAAGAACTGGGTATTGAAAGGTATATTTAGTCCATCGCCGGCTTGCGGAGCAATGAGTTTAGAACATATAAAGCCTGAATGCACAACATTCTTACTTTCATCATTTTCACCTGCCGCACGTTCCGCAGCTTGGTTCGCTGCGGCCTGCGCCCAAAATTGCTCATCGACCTCTCCGTCGCCATCCTCATTAAATCTGACGGGTTGTCCACGCATCTTCAACTGGGGGTGCGCAGATGTCAATTTATGTTGTCGCGAAAATAATTGCACGTACCGAGAATTTGGGCTTCAAGAACAGGGTAACGAGTTGCCTGCTTGAGAAGTGCATGTCGTCAGGAAGAGTATGTTCATCACGCTTCTCCTCCTTCGCTTTGCGGCCGCCCCGACCCTTCTTGCCAGTCTTCGAACCTCCGTAGCTGGGCAAAGTGATGCCAGCCCCCCCGTGACTTTCGCAAACATCTCTTTTGCAATCGTCCTGATGTCTTTCTCGGCGGGCGTCAGGAAGTCGATCTTAAACGCTTCCTTCTTCCTCGCCGAGGTTTGGGAGCATCAGCCTCTGCTGTAGCGCAACGTCATCAACATAGCATATCTAAATGAGCGAAGAACTCACGTTTCCGAACCACTTTCCTCAGCTTCCAGTGTTCAGGACCCGCCCAGTTTTTCATGAGGTTCTTATCGAAGTAACCCATCATCGCGTTTTCACCATCCGCGTCGGTAATGGCTATTACGCGATCTCGCTCGTTTGGCGCACGTCGTGGGTCGAAAGGAATAAATGCGCCTCCTGGTCGTACCGCATGCCGTTGATCACCTTCGGCGCCGACCGACTCATTCTCCCCCCCCCATAGTCACCCCCCCAAAAGCATCCCCACCATCATAATCATCATCGACAGCTTGGTCGCCCTGGAAGAAATCCTGGCCACCGCGATCACCATCCACATCCATGGGTGCACCATCTGCGCCATAGTCTCCGAAGCCCGGATCATTGTCGTCTTCATCGCCACCTTCATTATCGACTGTATCGTCACGGTAAAGAGAGTCGTCAAACAACGGTTACTGTCTTTGGCAAACGAGAAGGCGGATAGTGAATGGGAGATCGCCTTATCGTCGAGGACCTCTAAGTCAGAAAAAAATTGACCTAGTATAATGGTGAGTATTTATCATACAAGAGAACTTTCCAACATACTTCGTAGTAATGATATCCACATCTTCTTGCTGCTCCTCCTCATCCTCCTCATCTTCCGCCACTCGGCCCATAGAATCACTCGCGTCAAAGACGACGCGCATGCCACCATCACTTCCAACCCCAAACTAAGGTGATTCATGAGCAAGCCCTGTGCGCCGCCCTCGTCGAAATCTTCGCAAGTTTTGCGGAAAAGGGGGTCAACGCGAAACTCGAGATCCAGCTTCTTGCTGTGAAGCTGTGAGGCGTCTTTAGCGAGCGTCGAGTCGGGTCGGTGCGATTTCTTCTTTTTCTTCGCCTGCGTCGCGTCTTGACTATCAGGATTGTCCGACAGGGCTTCATCGTCTTCCTCACCGACCATTCCTTCGTTGGCAAGGTTGCTGAGCAGCTTGCCTGTTTCAGTGCCAACAGAGTCGACACGACTAGTCCAGATTTTAACGCAGCCATCAAGGGTACATGAAGCGCGCTGGAAGTTGATGGAGTTGTCGACATTATTTCGAAGTAGTGACATATCGTGAAAGTAATCAATCAGCGCGAAGTTCCATGAGTTCGCAGCGTTTGATTTTCTGGCAGTGATTATGATAAGCAGTAAGATCTAGATTAAACACGAATATACGCACATTGTCTGTCGCCATTTTCATCCATTCCTCAAAGTTGGAGCTCATGACGTCTAGGGGTACGTTGATGACAGGAGGCGGGGCCACAGAGTTGAGCTGCTGTTGCTTCAGCTTCGCCTGTGCAGCCTTGGAAGATTCTGCCTGATCATGACGCTCTGTCGAAGGCCCAGCTTCCGCGTTTTCTATGACAGCTAGCTTATTGCTCTTCCTCCGCCTGCGCTTCTCAGCCGCGTCGTCATTTATATTGACTGCCCTCAGTGGAGGGCGTCCAGATTCAGAGTGCGCTTCATTCTCGCCGGCATACATATCACTGATCCGCTTCTTGCTGCCCTGTCGAAGTGTTGGTCTTGGTCTTGGTGCATCTGGTTCAGTGTCACCGCCTGAATCCGAGCCATAATTTTCCGTATCTGCAATCCTGGCACGTCTGGTATTCATTTTCCGTTGAACTTTGTGTCGACCGTCCTTGACGCTTTCGCAAAAATGAGCCGTTTGGTTGCCGTCGTTGGTACTGTTCAACAAAAGATGATCAGTCCATTCTCGAAGCACGTGACACACGCGTCTTGTCACGGAGTCACCTAGTCACTCATCGCATGGCTCATGAATTTACTTTCACAGGACTCTGAAACAGTTCTAGCATTGTAGATTCGTTTATAATCCTCCTCCAATCATTATGATCATATTACAATAAATTATCCTGCCCTGGACAGCCGCATAGAATTCTCCGCTGCTGTTTAGTATGCTGTGCTTGATAACATTTAGTCTGACGTACGAAGAACAGGCTTCTAGACGCTCTTCGAACATCTTGCGCTGTAAGGCAGTGTTATTGAAGCGTCACGCGTCATAGATAAGCCAGGTAAGCGCGCTGCTTGTGGAAGATTCTGAAGGCAGACCAGAACTACACGTACCAGCCAATTTGGCCCACCCATGGCTAGTTAGTGAGCTCTCTTCGTTCTGAAGTGGGGAGGTGATACCACTAGGGTATCTTAGGGGCCACCGTAATACAACTCTAACTGCACGTGATCCGACCCACTTAAATTCAAACATAGACGGTCAACCTCACTTGCCTACCTACTTCGCGTCTCTCAAAAGTCTTGAAATATTGCTCTACATTTGCTGTACATTATGATTTTTGGAGACTTGTCTGCTTATGTATTCGCTGACGGTCAGGAGCTTCCGGAGTATGCTGCTGTTGTTTCCAGCACATCGACGGAGAACAGAATAACCTGCTGGATTGCATCGGAAGAAGGCAAGGTGTGTCATTCATCATATATACTGGCGAAAGCCTTAAATGCCTCCACAAGAAATTTGGAGTCAGGTGGATGAACGCAGCTAAGCAGTCCTGTGGCATCCAAACAGCTGTCTCCGTTGACGGTGTTCGTTGTGCTAGACAAACTGTGCGCCCGAGCTGGGTCGGCATAAAGGAATGCACGTACTGGGGCAGTGACTCAGTCACCAGAGATTTCATGTTTTCAAAACTTGAGCTTACTGGTCAATATGCTAAAAGAGTCTAGTTCCTCTTTCTAACACTAAACTTCAGACGATGACTCAATGCTCGGTGATCCAAGTTCGAACGACATAGGTCAGATCGTGTTGAAGGTTGCAACGGGGGAGTACACGAAGACGCAGGTAGTTAAACATGGTATATCGAAAAATCACACTCTCCGTGTGCAAGAAAGCAAGGTGCATGAACGGTCGAAGAAGGCGTGTGCTCATCGTGTCGTGTGCGTAGAATTTCACCCATTGTCTCACTCTTTGATAATCATCATCTGTTAAGCTTTGGAGACGAAGTTCCCCGACAAGTAAATTATCGGTCAGGTCGTCCCACATCCCGCACCGTGTTCAAACCGGATAACCGTCCTACGACTGTTTTCGTGTTCAAATATACACGCTTGGGTAGGTCACATTATTTTCTACGCATATATCCCGCTCACTCGTTTTCAATCTTAGACATTTTGCAGGCAATGGGCATAGCGCCATCGACATCAGATAGCTCAAGCAGGGAGGAGGCAAATGACGATGATGATGAAATAGAAATCATTGACGGACCATATGCGCCTTCAAGTTTGCCATTGCCCTTAAAGGATGTGAAGCCCCGAATTCAACATCTTGAGGTAAACTCTTGCCCCGACATCTTTCGGGCCTTCCACCTCATTCTTATCTCGCAGATGGAGCTCCAGCATTTACGCATCCAGTTGGCCTCG